ATGAACCAGTATTATTGAAAAAATGGGAAAAGTCATACTAAATGTCGAAGATCTTAAGGTATTCAATGCGTTCAAGCAGATTTGGGTGGTAAAAAATAATGTGAGTGCTATATTCTGGGGTGGTGACTAGCAAAATGGACCATTTTCGACATTTCACTATTTTGGTGGCGCCATCTGGATTAGAGAGTGATATTTTTGCTATAACCAATGTGTCAAATTGATGGTAGAGGATCACAAAAATGATTCCAAATTCGGTTCACTGTAAATATATTGGATATCTACTGAAAAAATGCCCATAAACTTCAGTGTACTAACAATTTTGTGAGACCCAAAAAGCGACACTTCCACATATTTGGTCCCAATTTTTTTATGTGTTCAATATTTATGTCAAATATATACATGAATATCTGCTAAAAGAGTTAGTCTTTTACAATCATGTGCTTATACAATTCATTTGTCACGAAAATTAATGAAAAAATGGCATTTTGTTCGGAAAAGCAAGGTGTACGAACAATTTTGTGAGTAACTGTATATCACTGGAAAGGTCTTGAAAAGTAGATTCCATTTTTGATACAAAACTTCAAAATATCCCGGCATTTGGTCAATATTTGGTCGTTGGAATTTTTTTGGCCAAAATTGATAAAATGGCCATATTTTGATAAAATGATGATCGATTTTGATGTTTTATAGCTCAAATTACATGTACTTTTCAAGATCTTTCCAGTGATGCATATTTCATAGTTCCCACATTAAATTTTATACGCAATTTGTCGAAAAATGTATATGGTCACTCAGGCACCCATTTCACGTATAGCGCATCACACATGTTTACGCGCATATGTGGTAAGCTAGTGCGCGTATGTGGGCATGTTAACCTAATTTTTGTAGCCAAATGTTCAACGAATCGAACCATAGTTATTTCATTAATTTATGATAAGAAATAATTAAGTTTTAAACATTCAAATTTGATTTTGGGTACACAGTGCCCATTTCACGGTTTGAAGGTTAAAGCTTCTTTTGCTTGAGAGCAGGAGTCTGAAAACGGTAAAACTTACCAATGAATTCGAAAATAATGTGAAATTCTGGATAATCATAAATCCATTGGGCCACCGAACACACTCAGTCATTTGCCCATGGAAATATAATTCGAAAAAAATACCGTGATTATGCCATGCCACATTGCTCGCTTGGTTTGGTTTGCAAATATTTGTTTGCGTGTTTTGTATTGGTTTGTTGTGTTGGTTGTTACGCATTTATTGTTTTATTGTTTAACCCCGTTTAACACAACACTACATGATTTAGACTTTAATCAAGATACTAAATCAATTGATAACATCAAACAATGAAAATATATTTACGAAAAATTGCGCGTCAAAGCGATGAGCCTAATTTTCTGGTTGTTGTGTATATGTGTGTGTTTTTTCCACATCGTCTCTCTTTCTCATCCGTCTTTTCCCCATTTCCGCGCGCGTAGCTTCGTATTCTCATGTTGCCGTACACGAAATGAAAAGCAGAGGGCAAAATGATTGTGATATATCCTAATTAGCGGGCAGCTTACAAGGCGTGAAAAACTCGAAACACGAAACAAAATATTTTACCGTCGAAATTACTATAATGATGACGACCATTTGGTAATCTCGTATCAAGGCATCGCAGCTGTGTGCGAAAAACAATAACAGCGAACACGCGAACAGTTCATGTTCATAGGCGGAAACATTGTGTGCGGTTAAGCTTTACTAGAAAATCCTCAACGATTTTAATTTCGAACATAAACTTTCTCTCGCTACGATACACACAAGCGCACACACACACCATCTCGTAAATAGCTCAATTTTCAAGTTCGTCCGTCGATTCGAATTCTATATCATGGGCTGTAAAGTAGAATAAACGTGTTTACATGCTGAAGCGTAGTTTAATTTTGAGTTTGACACAGACGGTTCAGCATATAAATGCAGCACATGACAGCGAAAAATAATGAGATCACATATTGTTATTCGTGTAAATCGTTACACATTATTTTACATGAGGTTTTCTTGATATGACCAAATCAAAACCATAATCCAACTCCTGCGGCTAATATTACATACTGCGTTTGGTGGAATATTTAACAAAAATCCTTCCGTTTTGGCGCTCACTTCCTTCCCAAACACCCACGCACGAAGAAAACGGAAACAATTTTTCACCTGCACAAATATTCATCTTACTCTATTTGTAATGCCATACCAACAGCAGCACATTGTAGCAATTACATGGTACGCATCTCGATTTGCCAACGCTTAAAACATTTTGAAATTGAATCATTCGCGCCCTTCGTTCGCGATAAGCTATTCTTCGAAATTTGTTAAATAGGAAATAAAAATCCAACAAAACCATTTCATTTAATAAAACCAGACCCAGGCGCATACATATACATTCACGTGCCGTTGGCAAATCATCGAAATACCCGTAATTGTGCGTCGATGTAAGAACGAATTAAAACGAAAGCTTTCTCTTCTTTGTTGTTGCTGTACTTACGTGTTCCATCAAATCGTGTTGCGATTGTATCCAAAAAAGTGTTTTGGGGCGCTAAAAGCCCCCTTCGCGCTGGCATTGAACGACCAATAATCGGCTAGTTAACGTTACGATTCTGCAAAAAAAAAAATAGACAAAATCATGTCATTAGCATTGTAATTAACTTAACCAAAGGTGAGAGAAAAAAACACTTAATTGAATTGGTTTGACGTGGCCTTTAATCTTAATTTAAATATGATTGAAGAAGACCTAGAATGAGTCGATAAAATAGTCCATTTTAATACATTCTTGATGGTCGGTCGGAAGTAGTTTTTTTCTTCGTTCAGATTGGTTCTAAATCACAACTTTCCAATTTTTTTGTGGAAAAAATCGAGATTTTTGTGTGGATCCGAAATAAGTTCTTTGTTTCTTGGAAATTAACAATTTTCTCGGTCCAAACTAAACTGACTAAACTTTAAACTAAAATCTAAATGAATTTGCTGACTTGCATATTTGATGTAAAGCGAACTTTTTTTGGCAATTTCGTAAGAAATCACCGCTTTTTCAAATCATCAAATTTGACTCTCTTTTTTCTACCCAATGGAAATTTCTCATTGAGAAACGATCCCTTACAAAACATTTGTTCAATGTTCTCATCGAATGTTTGTTCAATGCCACACATATACAGTGAAAGTGGAACAGAATGCTCCCCATTTTCGATAAGATTTGAATCAAGACCGATGGATCCGTATACAAGTGTTTTGGACTGAATTCAAGCAAAAGTGATTGATATATCTTTATATATAAAGGCCTAAATAGTGTGTTGTGTTATCCCCATTGTTATTTCATCCGATTCAAATGAATTCTATCGAAAATGTCTTAATTTTCAATCGAGTAAGCCTGAACGAGATTAATCGAGCACGGAATTCGCAAATCCCCGAAAATATTTCATTAACATACAAATGTTGTGGTTAAATTGCGAAATAAGCATATCTCTATTATTTGTTCGTAATGTGTTTTGTGTAATGTCACGACCAATGCGGTAAATACAACAAATGAGTCATGAGCTCAGATAAATAAACGATGGGTTAACAGCATGTATATAAACTTTTTCTTTCGTTTTCCCATTCCATGTTTTACGTTTAGAAATTAACTTGACCCTACGGGAGATTCTGCGTATATAAAATACTCGGTTTATTTTCCCTTCATTCTCTATTCACTTATTATTTCGCGTAGTTTTTTGCTCGCAAATCGGATTTGGTTTTTCCACCGATATTTCTATTTCCATCGCAGCCAATTTGCATTGACCATTTTCGAATGCGACATTCGACACGTTGTACGTGTTTTGAGTAGATTTCTTACTAATAATCAGTGACATCGAATCTTAATACCCTTTCCTGTCGCAAGCGCGCGTTTTCTGTCAAAACGCAAACGCTTTATTTAGTTACGGTCAAAATTGTGTGTGTTTGTTGCCACTGAAATATCCAGACAAATTATGTTTGGCAAACAGACGAAATTATCATCATTGAATATATATCTAACTTAAAGTGTAAACGACGATGTTTTTGACACCAAACCTGCCGCATATTTTGGCACAACGCAAAATTTTGAGTTGGGTATTTTTTGTTGTGTGGAGTCGTCGATGATTGCGTGTGTATGATGATGACAAACAAACAAAGATATAACTCGAATTCTTCTTCTTCTTCTTCTTCTTTTATGATATTGTTGTTGATGAGTCGGTTTGTCTCACATTGCGAAATTGTTTGCCGTTCACACATTGATTCACTGGCATGCAAATGCGTTTACGATGTACGACGTATAATATGTATTCAATTGTATAAACAAATCAATATATTTTTGTATATGAAGGGAGCGAGAGTGCGAGTGTGAAAGAGATAAGGGATTGCGCATGCGCATACACTGCGCCGTTGCTAATCGTCAACAAAACTGAAGGACTGACTGAGAGTGCAATGTGTAATTTGATTTGTGCCGATCTCGCACATAAATCCAACACGCGAGAAATTCAATCAAACAACAAGTAGAAGTCTCGATAGGAATCAATAGCAGCAGACGCACAGCCAATAATAAATGTATCCACTGAACACAATAAAACACATGTACTCGCGCGAGCACACATACACACACCTTGTAATCAATTTATCCCGTGTGTGTACGGTATATATGTGTGTGTATTTGTGATAAATTCACTGCTTATATATTCATGATGCTTTCAACTCGTTATCAATTGATGTCTGATATCTCTCGAGATTATTGCGTTTTATCAGTTTATTTCCATCGATAGGTAGACTCTGGTTGCTTTTTTTCTTCTCTGTGTTGCTGGAGTGAGCTTTCGACACATGAATTTTTCGGGAAACGAAAGAATTTCATCAGCAAACACCAACCATATGGAAAAACGATCACACCGCATATTTTACATGTGCATAGTTTGTCACGTATGCAGCTGACTGAATTTTGCACTCTGTGCGCTCAACATTCTTCGGATTATTGCATTCGGATACAGACAAATGTAAACTAACATGCATCTATATATCACATTCAATGTGTAATTCTAATCATTTTTCAATGCAACTATTCATTTTCATTCATGTCAATATAATTCGCACGGATGCCCTTTTTTCGTATCCATTTTTCATTGAAACATTTTCAATTTATATTGAAACGAGCTTATAGAAAATTAAATTAGACTCAGCAGTATATGAATTCCATTCGGCTCCAATATTATATATTATATGTATATGAACTGGAATGAGCTACTCAAATGAGCTAGTGTCGACTCAATTACACTGTTGATACATTTCAGCTCTATATTTAAACGCGTTTAGAAAATAAAAATTTGTCTCATTTACGTCAGCAACATATTAATGTAGCAAATTCAATGAATGTCGTCAATTCATATTAACTACCAATGATTTATGTTATGCCAAATGAATCGAATGCGTTGATGTAAAAAAGTGTACGAAAACATAAAACAGAACACCCGCAAATATGACACATTTTATACATCACAATCATCAATCATTTGGGAAATGCTAGCTCGTTAGCTTACGGACTGTATGGCATATCATAAACAGCACAGATTTTCGGTGGGAATATTGATACTATGTGGATTTTTTTTTTGCTTCGTACAATGTGCGAATTTTTCTCGAAATCTGCGAATAAGGATGTGAATTTTTCTCTTCAAAAGTAATGAATTCGCTCAGTTGATGAGATGAAATAAAAAAATAAAAAAAATGATAAGCATGTTAAAACGTTAAGCGTAACTTTGATGGAAAAAATCACTTTAGATGAAAAATAAAAAAAAAGTGTCCTGTACTTTAAAACATTTTCAATGCTTAATCGATCACATATCTGTGTGAATTTGTGACACTTTTGCAAGTCATTTGGACAATATAAATTTTCACACTTTGTAACAAACCAAAAAAAATCCCACGACTTGATCAGCGCAACTAATTTCAAAGTTGTGTTAAAATTGGTCATGCCGTTCCCTATTTTCCACATGCTGTGCTTTGCTTTTGAGCAGCACCGCACGCACTTAGCGCCAAATCCAACTGCGAACAGTTTAATTACTTAGAAAAGATAAGGTCAACGCATGTTGCATTCATTGAAGCTTGGCCACCCATTGATTTATTGTGAGAAAAGAGAGAGAGAGAGAGAGAGAGAGAGAGAGAGAGAGGGGGAGGCCACTCATTCGCTATCGATCAAATCGGTTTTTATTGACTATATAATTCAAAGCGAATAGATTGGAAGGAAAAAGCCATTTTTAACCAGCACACACTCTGTTCGGTATAGATATATTTACATGGAAGTGTTGTGCGGTTGCGTTCATTGAAATTGTAAAAATCAATTACTTACATATGCTAACAAGTAAACGAGAGAACGAGCGAACGAGCTTCGAAACGTGCACATACGTACTTCCAATCATTCCATTCGAAATATGTCACGTAGAAGATTTATGCAAAAAGATTTGCTGCACAGAATTTCCCGAAGTATTCAATCGGTCGTGCATACGGAAAACAATCACACTATCTGTGAGATAAGGGCATGTGCGCATCGTTGGAATTGTCGCTTGACGCGAGACAACAGAAAGGCAAAAAATATGTGAAATATGTGTGTACAAAGACTAATACCGAAACATGTCACGTATGGCTGTGATTCATACTTCCCCAACGTGTGAACTTGACTCCATCGCATTCACATTCTACAGCAAGCTCAAGTCGGAGACCATGACTTATCACAGCCAACTCTTCAATTTCATATATATCTAAATTATCGTTGTGACGGATATAAAATGGCATACAGTGTGAAGAAAAAACGAAATAATATTTCTTTTTTTTTTCAATAAAAATTGTTGCATCGACCAAGATTTATTGCTGCAAATAGATTTCGAACATTTTTTAGAATTTCGTTTAAGCAGTTAAATGGTTTCTACAATAAATTATTGCTGAATTTGTCTGTGTCAACGTAATTTAATTGAAACCGTGAAAAATAAGATTATTTGAAGAAAAAGTTTACATAAAACATTTGAAATAGCCGTGATGAATACTAAGCGCATAATGATTCTTTGAAAACTCGATAAACGAACAAAAAATTGCTTACCAATCAAGTAATGTATGCCATTTTTTTGTATTTTGAATCATTCACATCAAATTAAGTTTTTTTCATCTGTTGTTCTTGTGCAGGCATTGTTTGTTTCTTTCCATCAGCCATTTACTCTCTCTCTCTCTCTCATACTTGCTTATTCCTTTCATTCTCCTTTCTCACTTTAATTCTCTTTATACGCT